TTGTTTCAAGCGTTCGTATCTATGCGCCATTCACCCCTTGTTTCAATTCGGTACGTCCGTTCGGGAGGAAATCCCGCCGCTTGCCACCAGAGTAACGGAACCGCTGGCACCCCGACCGGATACCTTCCGCCGACTGATGCTCCTAGTGCTTTCCGAGGACTCCAAGCACTCTGCCTGACACTATAACCACTGCAGACCCCACGAACCGCCGCAGCTTGGTTGGGGTCTCGCCGTCTCCACCCACTCTGGACTCAGGACCAGGGTCCAGCTTCCAGCAGGTCGACCTCTCTCCGAATTCCAGAGAGCAGGAACAGGAACAAGCTCTTAGCAGAGCTTAGTGATTATACCCTGGGGAGTATAGTGATTATAGCAATCCCCAGAGTGTAGTTTCTCCAATCCCCCAAACATGAGCTGAAACTTCATGAAGGTACAAGATGATCTGACTCCAATGAGCGTTTATTACTCCTTATATACAAGTTTTCAGGTCAGAGGCACACCCCCTGGACCTGGTGGTAAACTGTGACAAAAGGAACACAAACCAATGGGAACACTAATTAACATGATAACACTCTCCCATACACAATGAAATCCCTCCTCTCCATCATGGAGATAATTGGCTTAGAAGCCAATAAGCCCCAAATAGTCTTTTTAAATGGCAATACACCCCAGGGCCATAGTCATGAGGAAGGAGGCTGGCAATCAGGCTCCTCCAAAAGCCGGGGGCAAAGGGCAGCTTGTCACCTAACAATCCAGGGACAAAAGGCATTTCGTCACACATATAGACATACACACACAGAGACACATACATACAGACACACACACACACACAAATATACAAACACACACATACAGAGACACATGCAAACAGACACACATACAAAATGTTTTAGTCACCCTCCCGTTTCCAACCTTTTAGGTGCAGGAGGGTGACTTCCCTGGGGTCCAGTGGTGGCTCAGGCTGATGGGAGTCAGAGTTTCCACTCTGACTCCCTCCTCTCCACTCCCTCCCGCGTGGCTCCTGATGGTTGCTGGGAGGAAGTGACTGAGATAGTCACTTCCTCCCAGAGTCTGACATCATCACAGGGCGCTGTTAAAGTGCCACAGCGCTGACCGGGCTCCCTTGATATTAGTTGCCATCGGGTGGCCCTAACAGCATGGGCCACATGACGGGCCCCTTCAATGCGTCCCGGCGGTTATACCGCACGGGCCAGGGCCACAACATGGCCGGAGGGCACCGCGGTCACATAATTCTGCTTGGTGGCCAGGCCACCTGGAGTGGCGGGCCTGGTTGCAGCTGCGACCGCGCTTGTTCCGCCACTGGTTGCTGTAACTGCTGCACTGGTCTTTTGATTCTTCTTTTCAGAGGAGGGCGTTGATGTTTATCACTTAAAAGGATCTGATCACTATAACAAATGATACTAGACAGACAAACTTTCCTCAAACATTACTAATATAAAATGCTTCTGGCTATGCCTAGTAATACTATCCCTTTTGATTAACCATTAAGCCATTGTTGACTATGTATAACTGTTGCTTGGACACACACTGGTACACCAATACAGCCCAGTGTGAAGATGAGCTAGGTGTAATGCAAAGTATTAAAATTGGACCAATTCTATCTAGTTGAGTGTATATTTTCTATTATTTCTCAGGCAATTGTACCATTGTAGAAAATGTGGATCCCAGTCGCAGATTCTGAAACATATCCAGCAAGTCTAGGTTTTTTCTTCATTGCTAGTATGTAGCAGGACAATGATGCATCCATATAAAAAAAAAAACATTTCAAATCCAGCAATCACAACAGTCTACGGTAAGTCCCCACACCTCTAAAATGGTTCCAATCATATAATAAACTATAAATCCAAGTACTGTAACCACTACAGCACGCCTATGTGGTTATTGTGCAGGAGTTGCCTTGGCGCTCCTCCAATTATAAGTAGTCAAACCATTTTAGAATGGTTTGACTACTTACCTGGGGTCCAAAAAATGAGGAGAGCAAAAAAGTTCCTGCCTCAAACTTTCATTACTAATGTAGTGGAGTGGGGAGCAGTGCCCAGCTAAGAAGTCAAACTGGTTTAAAATGGTTTAATTACTTACAGTCGGGGTTGGAGCCAGGCTACACTTGGCACTATAATCACATTGGTGTGCTCTAGTATATGGAATCCTGCTTTTTTTTAATATAATAATATTTTCAAACCATACAAAGATGTAACCAGTCTCAGTGTGAGAACATTCCTGGGACTAGTTACATCACCTGGAAATAAATATAGCGATGCAGTGTAATAAGAGCCTAGCTACCGCATCTATAGTAAATACTGTAAGAGACAAGCTATCCAAATAGTCAAACAAAAGTATATACAAGTGGTACTAGTAATTCTATGACAACCACAGAGGGAAAATGTGGGAGTATAAATATAACGTACATAATCGTTCCCCAACCCTGAATACAAGCTTTATTATAGTATGCTAATTGGGAATGAGAAACGCCAAGTACCTATATCCCAGTCATAGAATCCTTCTGGGAAATGTCTAATATAATAATCTTGTAAAGACCCAAAGTAGGACTGCCTTTAGTCCAAATATTCAAGAGATAGTTAATTATAAAAGCCCTATCAATGAATTAATGTTCATAGAAGGGCTTAATTGTAGATCAGTAATTCTTTGGGAAACAAAAAAATAGTTGTAAGATTAAAGGTCCAATATCATATAGGGAGAGGTATGAAGTGATAGATAGTAGAAAGATCAGTCTATAACAGACTGATAGAGTTCGATTATAAAGCCTCTCTCCCTGTAGCCTAACTAGACAGGCATAGAAAGAAAGAGAAAAATAAATAAAAAGAGTAAAAAATTAATTAAGTGTTTAATTCGGGGTTAGGCCCCTATTGAGACACCTGGAGTCTCTTATCGGTACTAAAGTCTCTGTGTAGTACCAGCTACTACCCTGTTTTTTCTTGGGGTGGTTCCATAGGTATATACACAGAGCCTTAGAAGTTTCTTCTTCTTTTTTTGCTTTTTCGTAATAATATTTTCATCAAGTTTTGAACGTAAATATATTTAAAAAAAATTAAATATATGGAATAAAATGCTATATAAAACTTTACTATATGACAGGATCCTTATCCATATACATGCATCTTGGCTTGAACAGTGTTTGAAAACCGACAATTAGTCTCTGTTGTTTTCCCTGTGCAGAAAGTGAAGCAGGGAAGACCACTGAGACTAACTGTCCATTTTCAGACACTGTCTGTCTGATCGAAGGTACCTATATATATGGCTGAAAGATCTTTTCATTTACAAAAGGTAGGGATCGCGTTCCTCATTTCTTTTACACATACTTCCTAAAAAAAAAAAAAAACTTCCTTTCAAAACTTGATTAAAGTGTCATCATATTTAAAAAATAATACATTATACTTTTTTGCGTCCAATCCACACCCCTCCTAAGTTTCCTTTGGCTTAGGAGAAACATAATCAGAAGAGAAATTTAATTAAGTAAAAAAAGCAGATGCTTCTCATTTATTGCAAAGGTGGAACATATTGAGCCTCTTTCTTCTTGCCTGCTCACTTTAAACCGTACCAGCAGGGATAACTAATTCATCCCGGACTCTTTGTAGATGTTGTAATGTGCTCATTTTTTGATTCAGCATGAAACTTATTCTAACACACAGGAAATACAAATCATATTCACATTTGGAGCTGATATAAAGTATAAAATTCTCAGTTCATTACATTTCACATATCAGTCGTTTTCTATTCCTCAGTCTATTCAAAGAGCTAGATAAATCTCTAAGGGATTGCATAGTTAAAGATACATTCTATAATATTGCCCTCTGGATGTAAAAATCTAAGGAGAACTGAAGTGTTTAATCAACATTTAAAATGGGAAAATGCTACGAACCTGATGAGTTATGAAGTACAGCCAGTCATCGAAAATACATATGGGGAAGAGCAATTTCACCAATAATCCATTTTAAGGATACATGTAATAAAGTGCATGGTATTTACTGTTGCATGTTAAAGGGATAGTCTAACCACCAACACCACTACATTTTATTGTCTACTTTCTCTGAAAATATAAGACATTGTTATTCCTGAGAAATTTCCAAAAACATGACTTTAGTGGCTGCCAGACTAGAGGTAATTCCCTTTGACATCCTTCAATTTTCAAAGGACTTTACATTCAACATCATCACACACAACATAATGATGCTGAGAGGGGTAGTGTGTCTCACTGAAAATCAATGAAACCAGTGTCCCTCAATTGGAAGCATTGACAGCATACTGCACTGATTGTCATGGGTGGGTAGGCTCTGACATGAGAAAAGGTTTTAAGGTGATTTTAATTATTAAAAAATAAATAAAAAACAAGGGGATATCATTTTAAAGGGAGAACATCTAATGAAAAAAAGCAAACTACATACCAACACACCAATGATAACCAGTGTGTGTAATAAATGTCATGAGCACTGTCTCAGCTCACCCGGTGGTCACTTGGAAAATACCACCAGGGACATTATAAATGCTGATCTTTGTGATGTTTTTAATTATAACCTGGACTTTGCAGACCACTGTGAAATTTTACGATCACAACATAAAAGAATCAGGAATAATAAATACGATACTATATTGATCCTTTGAGAACAGGAGCACACATGTTTGTTTTGCCATTGTTTTCAACAGTTTGGTGTCTCTACTCTTTCGGGGGAAGTATACCAATTAGCTATTGCGAGGTTTGAAATCCCATTGCTTGACACTAGCAGCACTTGATAGCAGAACCGAGGAGAAATAAATCAGGAAAAAAAAGAGTATAAAAAGGTGGTAAGTGTTAATTAATAGACAAAGTGTCTAGTAATGTGCTTTTGTCAAGATGTCAATGAAGGGTGGTGGACAAGCAACTGTATGCATGCACGCATGATTTCCCAATCCTAAGTTTTGGGTGCTACGGAGCTCAAAATCAGTCTGCAAAGCCATCATAGCCCCTAAAAGTAAGAAACAGCTACACTATGTCACAGAGGCAAAAATCCAAAGCTGCAAAATTGGAAAGAGCATCCTTTTTCCTGGCTAGGACCTCTGCATTGAAAGCGCGGGAAGGCCGGAGCCCTTCTAAAGATGGTGACGAGACCTGCTCCAAAGAAGGGTCACTTTCTCCCCCAGCTTCTCCAGGCTCAGTGCCAGATGAGAGACCCCTAACAGCAGCAACCATGCGCCAGATGATGGCAGAATTGTCAGAAAGTATGCAGGCTAATCTGAAAACTCAGATACACACGCTGACCGCAGACCAAGGAAATCCACAACATGGGTCAACGTATATCCCACGTGGAAAGAAAAATGGATGAGTTTGCCAAGGCCCAAAATAGCCTGGCAGACAAACTCCAGAAGACTGATACTCTACTTAATGACCACAGGCTGACATCGAGGATAAGGCTAGAAGGAATAACCAACGCAACCGAGGTATACCCGAGACAATTCTGGCTCCAGCCCTCAACGATTACCTATTGGATATGTTCCAAGCACTAACGCCGGAGATCCACCCAGACCAACTACTTATTGACAGGTCCCACAGGTTCCGACGGCCTAAACACTGGCAAAGCTCCACTGCCAGGGACATTATCGTGGGAGTACACTTCTTTCACGCAAAGGAGAAGCTAGTGCGATATGCCAGAACCGTACAACGCTATTAAGATCTTTATGGATCTCTCTGCCGTGACTCTCCAATTACGAAGAACATGTCACCTCTCACGACCACCCTGCGAGTTTAAGGGATCACTAATAGATGGGGGTACCCAGCAAAACTGCTACTCTACCACAAAGACACCATCCACGGAGTGTCTTCTCTTGAGGCCTCAAGGAGTGGGGACTGCCAACACCAGATGCCACGCAAGTGAGACCCACAAAGGTTCCTCGGATGTCCCCGGAATAGACACCTTTAGACATTTCAGGACTAAAAATATTTTTCTTTTTGGCTTCCCTGAGGGTTTTTATCTTCTGTCACCAAGGGAGTTCAGCCTCTCTTCCTTGGGAAGTTTTCTGTACACGGCCCTGTGCTAAGGGTTATCATGCAGTGACTCTAGGGGTAGCAAATGAAGAAATGCCAATTAAATTGATTTCCTGTGACCAAAAGGTATCAGTAAGTGGCAAGAAGAATTTTTATCCTGGACTGAATACAATCCTATTTTTCTTTAATTTTTATTTTTTATTTTAATTTTTGCACATTTATTTGTTGATACTGCATGGGCTTTCTATTTGTGTACAATAAATGAGCATATATAGAAGAATATGTTCCGGTTATTCCTTGGGAGTTTTCATGAGTGCATTTATTTTTTGTCCAGGTTAAATTAATTTGTTGAATTGCCCTCCTAAGAGGCATATAATCATTTACAATAGGTTAATATAGTATAGATTTTAGTTCAACTATAGTAATTATTAACAAATATTAATTATACATGTGTTTTTCTACCTAAAACACCTGACATTTCCCAGTCCTTGCAGGTATCTACAATGGTCCAAACTGAGGGTCTCATTCATAAAAGCCATTCATCTATGGGTGGTAGGTAGCAATTAGAATGGGTTTTATCCTACAAAGTCTCCAGAGTAGTTTGGCAGTAGACTGGGTCACTTACTCAGATACAGTTCTGTTGGGAAATCCCACTCTACTAAATATTTTTTCACTAGGATTTTCAACAAAGCTACTGCTTATGGTAACAAATTGCATATTTTAGGTGGTATTAGGCTTAGCTATGGGTCTATGAATATCAGTTATGATCCTGCAAAATGTTGTTTCCTCTGATAGGTGTGCAGTCCAGGAAGGTCTTCAGTTGGTTCCCACTGTGCACCACTCTCTGGCATACATCACATGAGCTACAGCAGATTTCTATGAGGCTGCAGCCCACGACTGCTGTAATAACTTCAACCAAACGTTTCCTGTAGTTGCAGATCAGACGTGCACAACGGTCAGGAGTAATTCTTAACCATTCCTCTTTACAGAACTGTTTCAGTTCAGCAATATTCTTGGGATGTCTGGTGTGAATCGCTTTCTTGAGGTCATGCCACAGCATCTCAATCGAGTTGAGGTCAGGACTCTGACTGGGTCACTTCAAAAGGCGTATTTTCTTCTGTTTAAGCCATTCTGTTGTTGATTTACTTCTATGCTTTGGGTCATTGTCCTGTTGCAACACCCATCTTCTGTTGAGCTTCAGCTGGTTCTCCTGCAAAATGTCTTGACTTGGGAATTCATTTTTCCTTCGATGATAGCAATCTGTCCATGCCCTGATGCAGCAAAGCAGCTCCAAACCATGATGCCCCCACCACCATACTTCACAGTTGGGATGAGGTTTTGATGTTGGTGTGCTGTGCCTTTTTTGCGCCACATCTAGTGTTGTGTGTTTCTTCCAAACAACTAAACTTTGGTTTCATCTGTCCACAGAATATTTTGCCAGTACTGCTGTGGAACATCCAGGTGCTCTTGTGCAAACTGGAAACGTGCAGCAATGTTTTGTTTGGATAGCAGTGGCTTCCTCTGTGGTATCCTCCCATGAAATCCATTCTTGTTTAGTGTTTTACGTATTGTAGATTCGCTAACAAGGATATTAGCATTTGCCAGTGACTTTTGTAAGTCTTTAGCTGACACTCTAGGATTCTTTTCACCTCCTTGAGCAATCTGCGCTGTGGTCTTGCAGTCATCTTTACAGTACGGCCACTCCTAGGGAGAGTAGCAGCAATGCTGAACTTTCTCCATTTATAGACAATTTGTCTTACCGTGGACTGATGAACAGTAAGGCTTTTGGAGATACTTTTATAACCCTAAGCTTTATGCAAGTCAACAATTCATAATCGTAGGTCTTCTGAGAGCTCTTTTGTGCGAGGCATAATTCACATCAGGCAATGCTTCTTGTGAAAAGCAAACCCAGAACTGGAGTGTGTTTTTTTTTATAGGGCAGGGCAGCTGTAACCAAAACCTCCAATCTCATCTCATTGATTGGACTCCAGTTGGCTGACATCTCACTCCAATTAGCTCTTGGAGATGTCATTAGTCTAGGGGTTCACATACTTTTTCCACCTGCACTGTGAATGTTTACATGGTGTGTTCAATAAAAACATGGCAACATTTCATTCTTTGTGTGTTATTAGTTTAGGCAGACTGCGATTGTCTATTGTTGTGACTTAGATGATGATCAGATCACATTTTATGACCAATTTGTGCAGAAATCTATATCATTCCAAAGGATTCACATACTTTTTCTTGCAACTGTATACACAAACATTATCTTTTATTTTTTTTAAAGCAGGAAGAAAGAAAAAAAATTATAAAGAAAACAAGAGATTATTTACAAACGGGACACTTGTCAGAACCAGTTTTATAGCCTTACACTATTGATCTGAAGCTACTATTTCAGTTAATATTTTCTTTTCTAAATACTTTGACCTCAAACAATACTGAGTCTATACTTTAAAGCAGGACATTGGGTGGGTACAGCGGAGGCATTTGTTCATATCAAGAATATATCTTACAAGCATCCAACATGTTACATACATGAGATGCCTCTCCCTGTGCTTTAACTTCCTATCAGGAGCAGGTTTAAACATGAGACTCACATTCTATTGTTTACTTAAGTTTTTGTTAATATCTTCCCTTTAGAAGTAATTCTACATTAAGCCTAAAACCCTCTCCAAGTGCTTGTTAATTGGCGTAATTAGTGTTATCATTTAGAATAGGAACTAGCAGATATTGCTGATTGTAAAAAACAAACAAACACAAATTACACTTTTCTAGAATGCGCAAGAACCAAGAAATATCATTCAACATATAATGAGATTTCAGATAGATGTATCACACCTCAATTAAAGAAAAAATTAAATCCGTGTTGTGTGAGTTTGTGGATCAATGTGCAAATTGGTATTCAAATTATTTAGTAGTAAATCCAGTTACTTCAAGATTTTTGGGTCATTAACCTTAACAATGTCATTGAATTGTCACACTATCCAATTCAGTTAAACTGCAGAATGAAGGACATCTAAGAACTTTACCCAAAACCATGTATTCATTTAACTTTCAGTAACTTCGATTTGAGTTATTTTCTTGCAACGATACAATTTACGCCAGCACAGTGTTCCCCGACCAACACACTCCTGCTTCTGGGTAAGAGATCGATGCCTGATTTTACGACCAATTTCCTGCACCGGTTTTCCTGTGGCAAACAGATTTGTGCTATTTACTTCATGAATCCTTAGGATTGCGCAATTAGCACAAATTACAGAATTAATGCAGTAGACACAGTAGGAAAATGCAGATGTTGATTATTTGTTTCACCTCTACTTCTTCCAATGTTCGACATGCTGGCTGCACAAACTCACAGAAACCAGAGTTGATAGATGGATAAACAACCTAAACGCTCTTGGATGTTTTAACTATTAGATTAATGAAATTCAAACAGTAGGAAAAAAACATGACAAAATAATATGACAACAGGAAATGAGAAAAATTATTATTCTGAATAACAGTAAACACAAAACATTGATCAAGGGGAGAACTGCAAGGCCATTTATAGGTAAATAACATGACCCAAGTTGCATCATTTGTAATAATGTGTGTGGTTGTAACCTGGTCATACCTAAATTTGAATAGTAAATCACAGTAATTTAGATGTAAAATAATGAGTGGCATCTTATATAGTGATGGTTGTGAGCTATATTTAAAAAAAAAAAAAAAAAATCAGATGGACTGAGTTTCAAGATTAGATCAAATTTCTCCCTGTGATTCTCCATGGAGTATTATTGATCTTGATTATTTTAAAAGTATGATTTTGCTTTTCTATAATAGAAGTCCATTATAGAGTCTCCTATTGCACCAACTGACAGACAGCACAATGCCTGTTATATTGTATATATAGGATCTCACTGGCTGTCTCATTCTGTAACATAACAGGACATGATCAAGATAGCCACGTATCTCCTACAGGTCGACTGATTGATATTTTCTCACTACTTATCAGTTATATCAGTTAGTATGCTGATACAATTATACAACAATACATTGACTGCACTCTAAAATATAATTATGTTTGATTCAAATAAGTATATTTCCCAATAAATACTATATGAGAACCTTAGCCCATAAGTAGTTGTTGGGCCACTTAATTTCTACATTTTAGAAGAAAGCCATGCTTTATTAATAATATTACATAGATAACTCTAAAGGACTCACTAGTGCCCATCTTTTTCCATCATAACTATTTTCTCCCAGTGAATATTGAACATGTTCAGTGATTCACCTGTTGAATATGGATATATAGAGTGTATGCTACATAGATACTAAAAGAACTTTGTCTCTCACTCAAGGACCACAATCTAACACATTGGTGCACACAGACTGCTGAGACTAACTTATTCAACTCAAAAACACACTAGTTTACATAGATACTGCCACGATCTATTACCTTACTCCTTTTTGCCCACGTGGTGTCGGATGCTGGAATCACGCTCCTTTTCATGACGCGGAGCATACGCGCCAATGTCATGATGCCAATGACGCAACCCTGCGTCATCAATACTGGCCCAGACCATTTTGGGGGGTAGTCTTAAAGTAAAAGACACTCCCTTATAAAAGGGGTGCCTTTTGCTTTGTTTCTTCCCCATTGTGGTTCCTTGAGTTCCCCTTAGTGCTATTCGGTTCTCCTTGCGTTTA